GAGGTCTCTACCTGGACATGCACAGAGCTGTCTGTATCGCTTCGGAAACTGCTCACCTGGCCAGTGGGGAAGGTCACGTTTGTCAGCCGGCCAAAACTGTCATACCTGGAAACCAAGGAGTGGCACTGAGAAACAGACAGCCAATGGTGCCATAGTTGGGGCATAGCAAATTCTGCCTCATGCGCCAGTCTCCGCACTTTCTCTTCTCTTCCCAGCTGGACACATTCCCATGTCTCATATGCACCTGTCTCGTGTCCTGGGCTGGCACTGCTTAAAGCTCTAATCTGTGGAGGTCTGATTCAGTTCTTCCAGCCCCCCTTTCCTAACCTGTATAAGGGAGGCAGTAACCTGACCTGTCGACTTCCCAGGATTGCTGTGGGGGACCCAGGAATATCTGGCTCACAAAGGGCCATTGATCATGGCCACGATGCTGCTGCTGACCCAGAAGCTCTGAGCTGGGGGACTGATTCTCCAGTGGGGATTGGGCCCAACTTGATGCCCGAGTACTATCTGCAGACCCCTCAGTAAGTGGTCACACAGGGCTTTTCAAACACACGAGAGATGGGCCTGCACTCACGGGGCAAGGGGGCTCACAATCCAACTCTGCTGTCCCAGAGACAGGCCAGTCGGACGGACTCATGCAAGCTCTTCCCATCCACGATTGCGATTCCAGCCCTGAGCAGCTAACTAAGAGGGGGCTTCTTAAAAAGCACACAGGAGAATGGAATGAAAACAAAATGGAATTTTTCCAGTGGGCTTCTGAAGCCCCCTCGTATCTGCAGAACCTACAGTCTGACACATTACGATGGCATTTTAAGTCTCTTCCTCGTCTTCATTCCTCATTGGAATGAAGGAAACATCCACCATTCCCGAGCAGCTCCCATGTCTTGGGCACGGTTCCACCGGCTCTTCCGCCGTTTGCTCACTGCATCCTAGTCCAGACGGTTCCTACCATCTCCCTGTCACCCGGAGGGGGCGGTTGAGACACAAAAAGCGGCGTCCTCTGCCCAGGTCAGAGCTAGTCATGGGGCAGAGTCAGTTCGGCTCTGTCTCTACCCACCACTCGCGTTTCTGTGGCCAACAGACAATTGGCAGGGAGTGGCAAGGTGTCGGCCAGCAGCATGTTGATTATTTTTAATTAGGGGTGACTCAAGCGTAAAAAGGCAGATCTGAAAGAATCGCTCCATCCAGATATCAATACCTCTAATTTCTGTTCATGCTCAAGGCTCTTGCATGGATTTCGGCCAGTGTTTCCCAAAGTGGGCGATACCACCCCTGGCTGCCATGGCGCTGGAATGATAGGGGTGTTGCATAAGCAGACATCTACACTTTATCCTGGATTATGGGCTTCAGTATACAAGCTTTTAATTGCCCAAAGGGTGTTGCCATCTTTTTTTTTCTTCCTTAAAAAAGGGGGTGATAGGCCCAATAAGTGGGAGAAAAGATGAGGCTTTCTACTCCCATTCTTGTAAACCCACAGGAGCAGTTCTACCCTGTTCCATGGGGTTTCTGTGAATCAGATCGATTGATGGCAGTGAGTGAGTGAGAGAGAGAGAGTCAGAGAAAAAGGGAAAGAGGAGGGGAAGGAGGAAGAGAGGGAGAGAGAGAGAGCGAGGCCAAAGAAATTTGGGAACGAGTATAGTTCCCACAAATAGGTAAGTGTCCCTACTGGACTCTTCTGTGTGCTCCTGCAGGGTGCAGCTGGCCTTGGGGTCCTGAGGGTTTTAACAGTCGTGAAATGAAACATCAAGACAGCTCAGCTCCAGCCAGGCTCTGCCTGTGATTCCCTCCCTGGGCCCTGGATTCCTGCTGGGTCTCCTCGGTCCCGCAACCCTCGTTGTCTTCAGGTGAGACTTGCGAAGTGAGACGAGGCAGGCCTTCGCTGAACACGTTGCAGTCCAACATCAGCCTGGGAGCTGACACAGGCGCTGCCATTTGCCCACCCTGTACTTGCGTCTGGTGTTAATCGCCTGGACGCTCCCCGAAGGGAACAGAAAGCCTGCCCAGTCAAGCCTGACACACAAGAGGCATTAGTAAAGGTCATTTAAGTAGATCACCCCGAGTCATGGCCCAAGAACAGTTAGAAGAATAGCCCAAGGGTTTGGGGGCAGGTGGATTTGTTCTGGGAAGCCTTTCCAGAATGGCAGGCCATGCCGCAGTGTCTAGAATATGGCCTCAGGCGTGGCTCGAGCCGATCGGTTCTCTGGGAATGGAAGTGACACAGTGGCTTCAACAAATGGGCTCAAATCCAGGAACCGTGTGAGCCCTGTTTCCTTCTGTTGTGAGCAGAGTAGCTATTGTTTGGAACCACCTGGACTGCACCCACCAGCAGGCGCAACAACACAGGCACTTAGGGACTTGGAAAACCTACGGTATTCCTTGTCATGATCCCTGCCTTCCTCCTTTAGTACTCAGGCTTTTCTAGGAAAAGCTCAGTCTGGTGGCCGAGGGAAGGGGGAGGGCTCCTGGCCCTTGCAGCTGGGTGATGGCGTAACACTGAGACTGCCCCTAGGAAGAAGGGTGAGTTTGGGTACAAAGATCTGTCTGGGCCATTTGTCGCAGGCCATCTTTGACCAATGAGAAGATCTCTCAGGCTCTACTCCCCTTTTGAGAGGCTGGGATTCTTTTGAACATTTTTTATGACTGTTGGCAGTTTGAATAGGAAAGACATTTATTAAAATGTTCTGCTTTCTCTTTGATTGAGGTTTTTCTATGTTTTGTCTACTCATTGTTGGGCTTTATTTTTGTTTGTTTGCTTCCTGGTAGTGCCTTCTATGATTTTTCTATGAAATCCAGGACAGGTGGATCTATGGAGACAGTAACTGGTCAGAGACTGACAGGGAGGATGGGGGGAAATGGGGAGCTAACAACACTGAGTATGAGAAGAAAATGTTCTGAAATTGATTGTGGTGATCATTGCACAGATCTTTAAAATAGGATTGAATGATTCAATTTTATGATATGTGAAGTATATGCCAATAAAAATTAATTACAAAAAACTGTCACTAAGAAAATGTTTATAGTGGAAATCTCCAGGAGGCAGAATTGGAGGCAATCTGAACTGCTTACTTGAAAAAAAAATGTGCGTGCGCGTGTGTGTGTGTGTGTGTGTGTGTATATATATATATATAACATTAAAAACATTTTATTGGCACCTACTCCACATATCATACAATTCAGTAGTACTTGGATACATTTTATAGTTTCAAAATTTTCCATCATTAAAATGGGTTCTGTTCATAATCAGCCAAGTATTGACTGATACCCAAGTAACATCCCAGACAAGGAGCTCGTGAACACGACCATCCTGGAGAAGGCAGAGGCTAAGTTACTGCTGTTTGTAGGAGAGGCTTATTGGCAATTTCTTGGCCTTTCCAGGAAAATATGACTATGACACCCCTAATTCATGAGCCAGGAGTCAACACTAGAAAGCAACTGGTCACCTTCATTGCTCATGGTCACTCTGACTCCTGACCTGTAAGACCCGAAGTTATTTTTGAACCGACAGAGTGACCCGTTTCCTCTGCCGACTATCCTGCCCTAGTGTGGGGCACTGGGTGCCGCTGTCCTGCTTTTTATTACTGCAACGACCTCATGTTCTGACCTAGGTAAATCAAACAGATGGTATATCATCATGCCACGCACCTACAAATCTCTGGAGTCTTTCAAATAAGACTTGATCCCATAAAACGAACACCAAACTCGATTCCGACCCATCATGGCCCTACAGGACGGAGTGGAACTGCCCTGTGGACATCCAAGGGTTTTTCCAGGAGCAGAAAGCTGCATCTTTCTCCCCAGGATCGAGGTGGCAGCCAACGCGTAACCCACTTTGCCACCACGCCTCCTCAAGAAACGGCTCTGAGATGACTCATCGGGGTTCAGGTGTCACTTCAATCCCATAGGCCACCTCCTAAAGCCCTCCGGGCTCTCTCCAGGTTTGCCTCTCCCAGCGCAGCCCTCGCACACGGCGTCTCGCCTGGCAGACGTTCCTGGCTCTCTCTCTCTTCAGGCTGTGAGCTGCTGCTGAAGGTCAAAGATAGGTCTCTGGAGCCTGGCAGCCAGCCTGTGAAACTGGCTGCACATCACCTGGGCAGTAATGCTACCTGACGTGCTAGCACTCGGTCCTCTCTGCTTCCTCAGGACTGGGTCTGCCAGAGAGAGAGGCAGGGCACACAGGCCCACGGGAATGGAAGAGCGCAGCACAGGCTGGCTCAGTAGATGAGACCAGGATTCAGGAACTTGCCCGAGGCTGGGCACATAGTAGGCTCGTGATCAACATCTGCCGAGTACACCATCTCGGAGACAACCGCTCCCCCTAGACGACACTTCAGCCTGTCTTGGCAGGCATCTCCCCCGAGGCTGAGTCTCCACTACAGAACGGCTTTGTATGGACACAGATAATTGTAATTACGGTGGAAGGTAGCCTGTAATGCATAATGAAATTGAGCCAGGAGAAGAGACAATAAAAAGGCCCACTCCCTTCAAGATCTGGTTTTCATTTGACAAGAGATGACCCCCAAACAGTAATTTCCACTCCTCACTTTTTCTATGAGAAGGCATGGCATGTCTTAATTAAATGAAGATCAAATAGAGCAGCCAATTTATAAAATCTTCTCGTCTCTGATGTATTCATTCCAGTGCCTTCCGTAGCTTGAGATTGCCCCCGATCTGCCTGTTGGTCTAATCGATGACCTGTGTTGATCCCCTTCGCTGCCTGGCTCCTTTGGACACTACATGGGGAGACCTGGGCCTTGGGCCCTCTGCAGGGCATCGTCTCCTCCTGACACCGAGCTGCCACACAGAAAGGAGGCTCACTGTGCCCCTACAGGGTGTGGACGCTGCACGATCTGAACTCTGACTCACGGCCGCACACCCTCGCCCTGTGACTCGAGGACTTCTGAACAACAGTTTGCTTACGTCTGCCGTGGTTTCACTTAACTCGGGGAGCCCACGGAGTGCCGGTGGGTTTTCTTTCTTCTTACCCAAGAGGCCTGCAGGGGGCGTGCCGGTGTGGGAGACCTTTGGAGCTGGGCAGTCTAGTCTTAGAATCCAGACTCTACTGCTTGTCAGCAGCGTGGTCCCTGAAGATGAGCGATTGGGCC